TTCTGTTGTAATAAAAAATAAAAGATACAATAATAAGATATTTGATTAATTAACTTTTTGTAACAGCTTATTGCTTCAAAGTACTAAAATTTTAAAAACTTCTCAAAACAGTTTTTTTATCAGTTTTTTGATAAAGTCATTTTGCATGTGATCAACTATTAGTTAACAGCTAATTTACCAAACATCTTTCTACAATCAGCTAATGCTATCAACTAGTTAAACTCACTAACCCAATTAGCTAAAATATATATTTACCAAATACTCTCGATGTAATTTAATAGCCTGATTACAAATTTATTATCTTTTTTGTATATTGGCTATGTTTGGTAAAATAATTAGCCTACCAGTCAATTTTGGCTTATTTGGTCACTATTAAATGTTTGACTTGATTAGATAATCAATATGAATATTTGATTAATTAGTTTTTTTATAACAACTTATTGCTTCAAAATGCTAAAATTTAAAAAGATGCTCAAAGTCACTTTTTCGATTAGCTTTTTAAGAAATCATTTTGCATGTAATCAGCTATCATGTAACATCTAATTTACCAAACACTTTTCTACCATCAGTTAATGTTATCAACTAGGAAAAATTATGTTGTGGGCCCGGGTCTAAAATTACACAATTTATATAATAAATATTCACAATTTACCTATTGAATATTCACAATTTACATATTGAATGTTCACAATTTGAATTGTGAACATTCAGTATGCAAATTGTGAATATTCAATATATAAATTGTATATTTTGACATGGATTCACATTGTAAAATAGACTCATGTCCATAGCATAACTATCCATTAACCCGTCAAATTTACTAATACAATCAATTAACAGCTATTTACCAAACACCACTCTAACAAATATGTAATCCTTGTATCAAACACGAAACTCTCACATACATGTACAACGTTACAAAAATTGGTAAAAGGGGAAACGTTACATGCAATCCCAACCTCTCGTTCTGCACTCACAGCGCCTTTATAGCCTTTATAGGTATCTATCAAATATTGTCGTCGGGATTTCAATTCCCAAATAAGTTAAGAATTAGCTTGTGGTTGTGGTTGTGGTTGTGAGTTGTGGCTGTAGCCGATCAACACCATTTCCACTTCATCCGTTCATCGCCCTGTCCCACGTCTTTACTTTTGCTTCACTAAATCTACGACACTACCTGTTTTGTCCATATCATCATCCATCCTCTTTTATTTTCCACTCTACAATTTATCTTTCATACAATAATAATTTTCTTTATATTTACTTTAAGAGTGACTTTCATTCTTCCCGTTGAATCCACAATCTCAAAGGCCCCCAACATTCTGGCCTGACAGAACATTTGGAAGGATGTAAATCATGGTAACTCAACTGAACTACAAATGCTAGACATTTGCTTACTGCGCACAAGGAGCCTCCTCACATCAAGAGGTTGCTCCCACACTGCCACTGGTGACTTGATCCCTGGTCATTCTTTCAAAACTTCACTCATATGACTAGTTGAGTTGCTCATGCGGGTTAAGAGTGACTTTCATGTGAGACCGTCTCACGGATCATTATCCCTAATATAGGTCAGGTCAATATAGAAATATAATACTTTTACTGAAAAATATAATACTAATCAAGAATAAAAATTTTGTTCAATCAAAATTTAAAAGTATTACGGAATATATTTTTCTTTAAAAGTATTACACTTTTTCTTATGTGTAACAAAGAGATAGAAGTATAAATTATAATATTTATAATATAGTAATTTATAACAAATTTAATTTAATTATTCCTCAAGCAACCTAAACTAAGTTGGTTAGACTGTTGACTTGGTAATCATTATTCCAAAGGCTGAACCCCAACCCTAAGGGACCCTCACACCCCGGCCCGACAGAGTATTTGGGAGGATGTAAATCATGGTGACTCGACTGAACATGAACTACAGAGTCACTTTGAGAGGTTGCTCCCACACTGCCGCTGGTGAGACTTGATTCCTGGTCATTATTCCAAAGTTTCACCTCTATGACCAGTTAAGCTACCCATGCAGGCGTTGACTTAGTAATCATAAGATTACAGGTGAAGTTAATCAATTATGGACAACTTAAATTGGTTTACTTGTTTGTTTGTGCTACTTTTCTAAGGTTGCTGATTTTTTCGTAACTCAAAAATAACATTTATATATCCAATAATTCCTATAGTGACATGTAACAGATTTTGACAAGTGGTCCAAATAGTTCGAACTTATAAGACTACATACATTGTCATCAATAATTTATTTGGAGAATTGTAAACAAGAACCTTGACAGCCTTATCTCAATCTTTGTCGTGTACTTTAATTACTATCATCAATTATTCATATATCCAACTAAATCCAAACAGGGCTTTATAGGTATATATTCCTCATCCTAATTTTATTTACTAAACACGCACACGGCACACACACACTATATTACTATTCATTTAACAAAATAATTTTTTCTTTTTAACAATTTCATTTTCTAATTATCAAATTTTATTTAATAGAATTGTAGTATAAATTTTAATATATATCTATTATGTTTACTAGTCAAATCAATTATTTTTTTTTTAAAAAAAATATTTTCATATAAATTTATTTTTTTAATTTAATAATATTTTAATTTAATTTTAAAATATATAAATTTTATGTACTAATAATAAACTAAATGTTATAAAAAATTGAATTGTAAATATCTTGAGTTAGAGTTTCATTAATTGAACAAAACACATAACATAGGACAAATCCGAAAAAGTATTCACTAACTTAACTTTAAATTGAAATTACAAAATTTGAGTAAATTTGACTCAAATTTTGTAAATTTAAGTTACAAAATTTAATGGGTCATACTTGTGTAAGACCGTTTCACGGGGCTTATTCGTGAAATGGGTCGAGTCAGGTCAACATACAAATGTACGTAATACTTATACTAGCAAATTTAATACTAGTTAGCAATTAAGTGTTTATTACTCATATGAGAAAATGTAATAATTTTACATTTTGATGTAAAAGTATTACTTTTTTCTTCAAAAGTAATTTCATTACTTATAAGGGAAAAAAATAACACTTTTGATGATAAAAATACTTTTACATCAAAAATGTAAAAGTATTAGATTTTTCTTCAAAAGTATTACATTTTCCCATATAATTAATAAACATTTCATTTATGATTTAGTATTACATTTGTTAGTATAAGTATTAAATTTCATATTGATCCGACCCGTCTCACACAAGTTTTTGTCAAATTTTATATATATTATATAACCATTTTCTTAATTAAATAGTAATGTTGGGCATCGGTCGGGTTGCCCGAACTTAGCCCCTGCTCAATTCAAAACTTGGCGTTGTGGCTTATCATGGATGGATGTGGTTAAATGGTTAATGTCCACCTACTAATAACCACCAATTGGTTTTAAGTAGAATATAGAAACCAGATAGCTAAAAAACTCTTTGGTTAAGCGTGCTTGACTTGGATGGAGTTAATTCCACTAGAGGTTCCTTGTCTTTGGTGACAATTTCAAATTTAGTCTCAGACTATCAATTTTGTCATTTAACATCCTAAACTATTGTTTTTTTTAACACTTTTAGTCCTTCTCATGACTTTTCTTATTTTTAATAAGGGCATTCTTGTCTTTTCATATTTTTCTTTTGTTATTTTTCCAGTTTCAACTGATTTAATTGGTTTAGAACTTTAGGTAACCTCTGATTTTTAGTAACCATATTTTTCAACCGGTATTAAGTAAATTCCTAAACCAATTAAATCGGTTGAAACCGGAAAAATAACAAAAGAAAAATATAAAGAGACAAAAATACCCTTACTAAAAATAGGAAAAGTCATTAGAAGGACTAAAAGTATCCAAAAATAATAGTCTGGGATGTTAAATGACAAAAACAATAGTTTGAGACTAAATTGAAATTGCCACCAAAGACAAGGGACCCCTTGTGGAACTAACTCACTTGGATGGGTAACTCACTAAGAAGTAAGCATAGCACCCACTCTGAAGTAAGCATAGTGCAGCACTGATGGGTGACTCACTAGGAAGTAAGCGTAATGTAGTGCTGAGATCCACTAGACGAGTCAAAGTCAAGATAAAAATGTACGGTATAGTACTTATACTAAAAACTATAATACTTATACATTTCCATCTTAAACTCAACTCGTTTGTGAGACGGTCTAAAAGTTACTCTTTTATATATATATATATATATATATATATATATATATATACACGGTGATAATTTGGTCCTTTTGCGTTTTGGTTAAACCTAAGGTGCGTGGTTTTTGTGTTTAAGGTGCGTTAGTTCTTCAGTTGAGAACTTAAGTTGCAATTTTCGTTGAAACTTAAGGTGCGTCGATCTAAAGTTTTAGGTGCGTCATTTTCTTTCTTAAGGTGTGTATATTTAAAGCTTAAGGTGCGTCACTTTTCTAGTTTAAGGTGCATCTGCCTAAAGCTTTAGGTGCGTCGTTCCATAACTTAAGGTGCGTCATTTTCCTTTTTAAGGTGCGTATATTTAAAGTTTAAGGTGCGTCACTTTTCTCATTTAAGGTGCATCAGTTTAAACTTAAAAGGTGAGTTGTTTTATAACCTTAAGGTGCGTGGTTTTCCTTCTTAAGATGTGTTATTTTTCTCCTTAAGGTGCGTGATTTATATGCTTGTGCGTCAGTTGTGTGAAACTTAAGGTGGGCCATTTTAAAACCTTAGGTGCGTGGTTTGTGTTCTTAAGGTGTTTTGTTATGTACTTAAGATGCGTGGTTTGTGTACTTAAGGTGCGTGATTTTAATGTGTAAGGTGTGTGAATCACACAATAGCACGAGAAACTATACCTGCACTTGAACCTTTCTCTTTCTCTCTCTCTTTCTCTCTCTCTCTCTCTCTCTCTCTCTATATATATATATATATATATATATATATATATATATATATATATATATATATATATTGCCGTCATCGATCTAGGCCATAACAAAATAATTAATCCCTTTATCATAACCTGGGCGTCCATGAATCAAGACCCACCACTGCTGTCTCCGGCGCCGATCACTTCCAAGACCTCCGACATGAATCCTCTCTCCGCCATCTTCTCCCTATTACTACTCTTATTACTGCCCCTCCTGATTTACACCGTCTGCCTTGTCATAAAGTGCCGTGGGAGCCCTTTCCGGCAGATCGGACGGAGCCCGGCGGGTGAACCGCCTGGAGAATTGAAAGTGAAGAAACAGCCGCTGGTGGAGTTCTTCTCGACCTTAAAGTACGTGAAAGAAGAGGCAGAGAACGAGAGTGGCGTGACCGGCGAATGTCCGGTGTGCTTATCAGTGTTTGTTGCTGGAGAAGAAATTAGAGAGCTAAATGCATGCAAGCATATGTTTCATGTCAAATGTATCGATGTCTGGCTCGGTTCTCACTCCACCTGTCCGGTTTGCCGGACTTTCGTGCCGTTTAGGCGTTCCAAGCTGCCTGTAATTGACGCCGATTGTAATCTCCGACAAGATCCTTCTGGTTTAGTTTGATTATATTGTTGTCTATCGAGCTGAGTGATCTTGTAAATAAACACCATATTTTGATTATGATTGCTAGAAAACTTTTAAGCAATCATAACTCTGTTTCCTTCAAAAGCTAAAATCCTAGTTTTTTTCTAAGGTTTGGAAATCCAAAAAATGACTTCTACAAATCATTTTCTAAGTTTTTGGTGTTTGACTACACTTAAAAAATCTGGTTAATGAAAAATATTTTCCGTTGACTAGGGAAAATGTGCTCAATTTGGCGGAAAATGACTTCCGCCAAATTTTGGCGGAAGTCATTTTCCACCATTTGCTATTTCATTTTTTTTTTCTGGCGGAACTGGTTTCCGCCATGGTTCCGTCGGAAACCAAGGCGGTTCCGCCGGAAACCATGACCATGGTTTCAGTTCTGCTAGAAACCATAGCTATGGTTTCGGTGAAACTGGGTTCCGCCGGAAACTAGAATATATATATATTTTTTTAATTTTAAACTTCTAAAATGTATTTTTTATTCTAAATAAAATAATTAAAATATTTAATTATATCGTTTTACTCATTTTTCAGAAAATGAACTAAACACACCAAAACAGTTTTCCAAATGCAACTAAACACTGAAAAAATAAAATATTTTCTGAAAAATAACTCATTTTTTAAAAATCATTTTCTATAAGTCATTTTCCTATTTTCCAAACCGGCCTTAAATGTTTTTTGTAAGAACCCAAAACTCTGGATTTTTGTGAGAAACAATCGCAGAGACCTAGAAATTTTTACCTGACGATAGTTGTCGTTTTGCAGCAAAAATATAATAATATAAAAAGTTTTAATGGCAAACCATTCTCTTATTCTTCCCCCTTGTTCTTTTATCTTCCTTCCCCTCCTCTTTCATTGAAGTGATCTAACAAAAAATAATTCACATAAACAATAACCAATACAATAGATTAACAAAGTATGACCAAAACTAAAGGCTTATGTAACTTTTGTGAGCATGAATTAAACATTTAAACTTGTGCCTTCAATATATAGAAAAAGTCCATAAATTTTCAAACTTTAAATTAACCACCAAAATGATAAAAATGGAGTTCAGTCCTAGGTATTTAAATCTTTCAACCACCAAATAAAAGTGGTTGGAAATATTAATTAGAGTTTATTACTGAAATAGTCCATCAACTATTGTAAAATTATCAATTTGATCCTCGACAATTTTTCTTTTCCAATTAAGTCCTCTACGAATTTGAAAAAGTTAACCATTTTGGTCCTCCATTCGTTTAGGCCTTATTTGAACAACTCTGTCTCTCTGATTCACACTTCTCTCCTTATCCGAGCTTGATCAGATCGGAAACATGATGCATGTTGAAACCCTCTATTTCTACACTACTACTTCTTCCACATTATCCCCAGACGCCATTATCGTCTTCTTGTGACTCTCTCTCAGCCAAGTCCTGGTGCATTTTTACCTCTTGGCCGGTCGCCTGAGCTGGACTAGTGCCGGCGGCGGCGGCGGCTCGCGCTCAACTGCAACGCCAGTGGCGTCGTCCTCGTAGAGGCGGAATCCAACACTGTGTTGGCCGATCTCGGGACTTCTCGCCCTGTCCCGAATTTAACCACTTGGTTCCTAGCGTAGACTACAGCGATGATGAAGGAAACCAAAGTATCCACGCTGAGATTAAGTAGACCACAGATTGAAGCCAAATGGGAGACGAAGCCAACGCCACCAACCCCCTCTTTGAGAGAAAATTGGCCATTTTTCAAAAACAAAACAAAAAAATCCTTTGGCCATTTTTCCCGTCGCCGACGGACAGAATTCCGGCCATCAGTTTCGGTGATCGTCTCTATTTTCTTCCAAGGACCGTCTGAGGTTTTTGGTTGATCACCATCAGCAGAGAGATGATCGGCAGTCACCTGAACGCTCTCACAATCTAGGGCTTCTTCGATGATGGTTAGTTGCGACGGCAATCTGGAGGTCCATAATTGGTAGACTTCTTTAATTTGCTAATGACTAAACACTAGTTTTCTGGTACAGAAAAGCATGAATGAGAGAGGCAGAGAAGCGTGAATATAGAAATGGGTCTTCTCAGATTGAAATAGGTTAATCAATTAAGAAATTGGTCTTTTCGTGAAATTTCATCAATGTCCTCTAACTTAACTGACTTTTAATGCCTGTCCTAACAGAGGACTAAAATGATTAATTTTTTCAAAATCGATGATTTAATCGGAAAAGAAAAATTATCAAGGATCAAATTGATAATTTCGTAATAGTCAAAGGACTATTTCAGTAATAAAGTCTATTGATTATTTTTCAACCATCTAGTTAAGAAACCCCTACTTTTCTGATTATTTTTTTAGTCGTTAGATAAATGGATGGAAAATAACATTTTTCTAATTATGTGCAAGAGTAAAAGAAGGGAGAGTATATAACATTTATCTAATGATTGTGTGTACACACAGTTCCACAGCATAACGAATGAAGTAGTAGGGGAGAGGTGGAGACATGTGGCAAATTATATTGTGCAACCGTGTGCACCATGCATGGTGCACATTATTCTATGTTCATAATTACTGAACTATATGTTAATAATTATAAAGTTATATTTTAATAATTTTTGAATATGATATTCATAATTATTGAACTCTATATTCACAATTACAGAACTCTATTATGTTCATAATTTTCGATGTTCATATTCTCAATTGTTGAACTCTGTATTCACAAATCACAGAACTATACGTTCATAATTTGATAACTATATATTTTAGAAATTATGAATCTACAGTACAGAAATTATGAATCTACAGTACAGATATTATACATCTGCAGTATAGAAATTATGAATCTACTGTATAGAAATTATGAATTTACGATTTAGAAATTATATATGAATCTATAGTATAGAAATTATGAATATATAGTATAGAAATTATGAATTGGAATCGTGTGCATCATGCGTGTGCACCTTGTATGGTGCACACGGTTGCACAACATAATGTTCCGAGCAATAGTTATGCTGTGCAACCGAATGCACCATGCGCATGGTGCATACGATGCAAAACGACGTCGTTTTGACTAAAAACGCGTGTCCCACTTAAAAAAAAAAATTCAGGTTCGATTCTCGGCAATAGCATTATTGCGGATATATAGTTATAAATTTCTGGATATATAGTTATGAATTTATGGATATTTAGTTCATTCATTGTGGATATTTAGTTCATTCATTGTAGATATTTACTTCATTCATTCACTGTGGATATATAGTTATGAATTTATGGATATATAGTTATGAATTTCTGGATATATAGTTATGAATTTATGGATATTTAGTTCATTCATTGTGGATATTTAGTTCAATCATTGTGAATATTTAGTTCATTCATTGTGGATATTTAGTTCATTCATTGTCGATTTTTACTTCATTCATTCACTGTGGATATATAGTTATGAATTTGTGGATATATAGTTATGAATTTATGGATATATAAAAATGTTATTGCCGGGAATCGAACCTGATTTCTTTTTTAAGTGGGACGTGCGTTTTTTAACCAAAACGACTTCATTCATTCAATGTGGATATATAGTTATGAATTTGTGAATATATAGTTATGAATTTATGGATATATAAAAATACTATTGCCGGGAATCGAACCTGATTTCTTTTTTAAGTGGGACGCGCGTTTTTTAACCAAAACAACGTCGTTCTGCATCGTATGCACCATGCTCATGGTACATTCTGTTGCACAGCATAATTTGCGCGTTCGGAGACATGTTTACTTGGGTTGGATATTGTTATTGGGTCATGATTTGTTGTTTTCTTGGGCTGTAATTCATTTTGGGTCAAAATTGGGTTTAGGCCTGTTTTAGAGCTTGAACAGCACGTGATAATTGTTCTCGGTTTAGGTTCAATAGTTATCGGCAACCGTCTGCACAATACATGGTGCACACGATTACAAAACAATGTCGTTTTGACTAAAAAACTCGCGTCTTATTTAAAAAAAAAATCAGTTTCGATTCCTCTCAAATAAAAAAAATTCAATAGGTAAAAAATACAGACAATTTACAGTCTTAGATGCAATCCAAATCAACAGCGCAAATTGAATTTTAATTAAAAAACGTGCGGTGACATATTTGTAATTTTGAGTAAATAAGTCAGTTTGTCTTTTGTATCTGAGTGCACATTTTTCCTTCTTCGAGTGCATCACTTTTATTTCAGTAATTAGTTTCTCCTTTGAGTGCACATTTTTGTGCTTTTGAGTGCAAATCTTTTGGCCTTCAAGTGCACGTTTTGTAGCATCCAAGTGCATGTTTTCTTTTTAAGAGTGCATAATTAATTTCCTTCGAATTTTCCCTTTTAGTGTCATTTTTTTTTCTCTCCCTTGCCTTCTAGTGATCCTCTTTATGCTTTCAAGTGCTCAATTTAATGCCTACAAGTGTATGTGTGTCTTACTATTGTGTAAATTTTTTATTTATTTTTTTTTTTAAAAAAAATTAGCATTCAAGTGAACCCTTTTTTTTTTTTTACTTCGTTGCAGATTTTTTGCCTACAAGTGCACAATTTTATTCCTTCAAGTGCATGTTTCTTTGCCTTCAAGTGCACAACTTCTAAGCAATATTTGTTATATCTTGTGCATTCTTTTCAATAACATATAACTAAATTTCTAATGAAATTTGTGAAATTTACAAACGATTTGTTTGGGTAATTGGTTTAATAACACTTAAGTTGAATAATCTCCCTATTTGGTACCATAAATTACATCAATTGCACATCTATTTGCCTTCGAATGCTATTCTTTTGCCTTCAAGTGTACATTTTTTACCTTCAAGTGCATGGTTTTGAGCCTTCAAGTGCACATACCGCATTTTCGCACGGGAAGCGGTGTGATTTCAGTTGTGTTGTATCTCTCTTGTTCACATGTTTTCAAAAATGACCTGCTCAAGGAGATGTAGTACTTAATAGCATTCATGATGGTATTCAAAACACGTTTTGTAACATCTGAAACAACAAACCATTATGTTGGCATAAAATGCTTTTTTAGACTCAATTTGGGATTTGATTTGCACTCCCCCTCCTCCCTTCAACGTGTGAGAGAACATCTATGCTATAAAATTCAATAAGCTTTAGAAAGACTCTTGTATAAATAGTGGTGCAAATCCACCTCCCAAATCAATGTGGGACAAAAGCTCATCTTTTTCCCTTCATTTTCCTAACTCAAATGGGTCTACTTTGAGAAAATCAATATCTCATTCTCCCATTGTCCTTTTTGAGCGTACAATATATCAATCTCTTCATCTCACTACGAAGAACCCGAATCCACTTTGACCCGACCCAAATCGGATGTGAACCACACTGATAATTATACCACAAAATAACCACTTAAAATGTAATTTTAATGTTATTTTTCCAACAAAAAAAACTTGAAGTTTTGTTCAATTTTAAAAATCAAAACTCAAACTTGAGCTCGACACAAGCTACTCCAACTATTCTAGCTAGACTCAAATTGCATCAATAAAAAAATTCAATACTTTTACATTAAAAAAAAAAAAAACTTGTAGTAATAAACATTTTACAACAAAATATCATAAAAAACTTAATATTACATCTTGATTAAAGTATCATAAAAAACAATTTTATAAATATATTAGATAAATTTGTAATATCATATGCGGAGTATAAAGTATATAAAATTAAATAGAATATTTTGATTCGACTAATGAGTTGCTTTGAATTGAGTATTAAGATACTTGAACATATACATAAAACATAAATTTAAAATAGTTAGATATGAATAATATTGTTTGATAATTTTTAAAATTATTGTGGAAAACTATAAAAAAAAATAATCAATAATATTAAAACAAATATCTAATAACTAATTATAAAAAATATAAAATGAATAAAATATAAATTTAAAAAATCAAATGTAATTATCGGATATTTTTTAGATTAATATGAAACTACAAAGAAAAAGTAATAAATAATATAATTAAGGATAATTAAACAAGACCTAATAGCACCTTCAAATAAAATAAAATAAAAAAAAAAACAAGACCTAATAGCAACAAATTATAAATCAAATTTGTGTCTAATATCAAATAATTACAAATCAATTTTTGTGATTCAAAGTAAATTACAAAAACTATTTCTATTTCGTTAAGGTACATGTCATGAGAACTGTGGACGGGTTTTGACATGGGAATGGGGCTGGACAAAGGTTTGCATTCTGTCATTCCAGCACGTTTTAAGATATCATGCATGTATTTTTGTTGGGAAAGTAAAATTTCGTAACTGCATTTAACAATCTAAGTGTAACAAGTGGGATCTGAAGGACAAACCTGAACTGTTAAAGTTGAAGGTGGCGCCTGTGACTGGCTCCGAGTGTGCATCTCATGAGTTCGAACGGTGGACTTAACCACTTTTCCGCGGGGGCGGCCGCGAGGACGTTTGGCGGGCTGATCTGCTTGGTCATGCAGCTCACGGTCAGGCGAGGCAGGCTGATCAGCGACGGCAGTTTGCGGCAGCGGAGGCGGGTCGGGATCATCGTCGGTGGGATTGGGCCTGACGTTGATTGCGCCGAGAGCCGCAGACGCTGCTGCCTCGGGATGAAGAACAGATTCGGTCCACGGGAAAAGCTGCACAGGTTGAGACGGCTACATAGTAATTTTAGTAGGAAAAGGATAAACCGTGTCATCAAACCTTACATGCCTGCACACATAAACATTATTAGTTGTAAGTCCATGCATCTATACCCCGAAACGACTCAGGATAACTTAGGAAAACACATGGGGAAGACCGGAATGAGAGTTTGTGACGATTGTATGGCCTGAGATATGGATAACATAGACACCCAAAGACACGAAGAAAAGAGTATGAAGGATTGGAATTATGCACTTTAAAATGGGGACTGAGATTATTTAATACAACATATGACATTTTGTTAATTAAATAAACTGCAGTTTCAAAGGCAAAATCCTAGAACTTATACGGAACAGAGGCGCGGGCTAGAAGAGCCAGACCAGTTTCAACAATGTGTCTATGCTTTCTTTCGACACGACCATTTTTTTCATGAGTGTAGGCACATGATTGTCTATGAAAGATGCCTAATTGAGTAAAGGAATGATGTAATTTTTTGTATTCTGTTAAAAAGCCGTTCAACCATTGTGCGAAACTTATCAAAGATGACATACAAATTAGATTTTAATTTCATGGGAAAAATACCAAGTGTAGCGAGTATAATCATCCACGAAAATAACGAAATAACAATCGCCATCAATTGACAAAAGAGCGGCTGGACCCCAAATATCTGTGTATACTAAATCAAGAACACTAGAACTGGAGGACTCAAAACACGAGCCAACAGGAATCGAGAAGATTTACCCAATTGACACGCATTACACAAACTAGAATTACATCGAATAGAATTATTAGATCCACTAACCGAACACGACTGAAGAATACGAAGTAAGACACGATGATGTGGATTTCCTAAATGATCATGCCACACTGATAGAGATGTACGAGCGGTAAGAAAAGCTAAGGGAGATGAGGCGGCAATTGGAAGTCTAAAAAGGCCCCCATGACTATTGCCTTTAAGTATAATTTCCTTGGTGTTGATATCCTTCAAAAAAAAAACACAAAAAAAAAAAAACAAAAACAAAAACAAAAAAAACAACACAGGTGAAACTCAAAAAACACCTTATTATCTATTGCAAATTTTTGAACAGATAATAAAGATGTAGATATACTGGGAACATGAAGGATATTAGACATTTGGAAAGAACGAGATGGGGTATTAAAAGAAGCATGTCCTACACGACTAATAGGAAGTTCCTTACCATAACCCACACGCAATGTGTCATTACCTGTGTACTCTTCTGATGTAGATAGGGCTGTAATATCTGGAGTCACATGGTTGGTTGCTCCAGTATCCGAAATCCAAGCCTGAGAGCCATCTGAGTGGTCATTCTAATATGTCAAATTTGCTTGTGGATGAAGATCATAACGATTGTAACAAGCCAAAGCTGAGTGCCCCGTACGACCACAGATCTGACAGACCGGCGGTCCGCCATTACCGCTGTTGCTGCCGCGCCCACGCTGACCACCACTACGACTAGGCTGCGACTTTCCACAGCCGTCGCCGCCCTGGTTTTGTCCGCCGCTGTTATTACCGCGGCCTCCTCGGCGGGGCTGCCCGCCACGCTGTGCGGCAAAACGCCGCCGGTGGTTCGCCAGGAGCTCCACTTCGAATGAACTCCTGAACTTCTGAACGCCAAGAAAGTCGGCCAGCTCGCCTAGGGTTACTGTACCGCGGACGGAGAGAGATGCAGTTAGGTTTTGAAACTCTGGCCGTAAACTCCGAAACACATAAAGATTCATCTCGTCTAACCCGACCGGCCTACCGGCCAAAGCAAGATCCTCCAAAATAACACGGGCACGACCAATATAATCAACAACCGTGGAATCTCCCTGAGTTAGATACTGGAGTTGGCCAAGGAGATTTAACGAGCGGGCGCAAGATGCGGAAGCCAAAGACTGCTCAATTGACTCCCAATCCTCCCGGGACGTGCGGCGTCCAACGGCGAGCTGCATGACTTCTTCACTGAGAGAAGAGATCAACATAGACATAAGAGTCTGATCATGCCAAAACCACGTGGCATGCTCGGGATTTGGGGCCAGCAAGGCACCGGCGACTACGGGGAGGAAGGGCGCTGGACTTGGATGAGATCCATCTACGAACGGCATGAGACCATGTCCGTCAAGAAACGGAACGACTTGAGTTCTCCAAAACATATAATTTTTATGGGTAAGCTTAATACTGATAAAGTGATGAGCAGTAGAAAGCGAAGTAACAGTAGAGCTAGCGGAAGACATGACATCTGCATTGGAAACAGTCCGTTCGGAGGAGTTAACAGATTCGTTAGCCATTGGGATAGAGAAAGAAGCCCTAGCTTAACTGATACCAGATGAGAACTGTAGGAAACTGTATATTATGAACTGTGATTACAACTGTACAGACTGAGAAATTTATACGAGAGGAATCATAGGGAGACTAGAGTAGAGAGTCATGCTATGACTCAAATACAAGAATGCTAATACTAGTACTAATACATATCATTACTATTCTGTATTTAGTCTATCGTAGACATATTTTCATTTTCTTTTCATTTCTCTGTCTATGTTGGAATGTTATTGAATAAAAAGCTAATGCGTCAATAATTAAAATAGGATATAATTAAGATGAAATGACATCAGAATATCTAATCCATTATATAGACATAACTAATTAATTAATTAATTAATTAATTACTCATATTTTTAATTGATAAACCAACAAAACATGGCCAGAACAGGGAGGTGAGGCCTCATCTAGAACTCCTCGTATTGTCGTATCGCTCCGAAACGGGAACTTGCAACCTACACCACAGGTAATCTTGACTCTTGGGAAAAAGAAACCTGGGCCAAAAGAGTTGAAGTGGAACTAGGATTGGATAAAATGCTTGTATTTTGTAATATTATGAGATACAATAAAAAATATAGAAGAAAAGTAGGGAATAAAAATTGGATCAATTAATATCTTTAGGCATGTACATACTCACTTTTCTATAAGCCTTTAATATTCTTTTACAAGAAGATATACAGAAATCTCGAGTTGCTCTGGCAAGAATTTCTCTGTTAAGTTATGTAAGTGAGAACTTTATCTAAAGATATATTCACAAGTGTTTGTCGCATATAACACAAGAAAATATGACTATAATGAAATTAACCTTTCATCTCTCAAATTTTAATCAGAACTTTCATCTCTGACCTCTCTCAAAGTACATGTTTGACTTTTCTCAGATATCTTCTAGATTTCTCTCTAGTTTGAGACTTTTTTTATATTGCTCTATGATCCATTAGATTTAGACACGTGAATTGGTTCTCAGTTCTCTCTTGGACAGTTGAATATAGGGTCCGGTTTAGGTGAGAACCACTGCATGGGTGTTAACCTATGAACTCTTATGCACCATTGAGATTTGAGATTGAACAGTCGAGATTTGAGAAGTAGTGCAATGGTGCATTCGGTGCAATTGTGCAAAGTGGTGCAGTAATGTAGTGCAATGGTGTTTTACACTTTTAATAGGTCAAAATCATTATAAACTATTCAAACAAGATCAACGGTGCACAATGATACATAAGTTTACATGTTAACAGAAGTTTTCATCGAAACTTGTATATATATATATATATATATATATCTTCCATCTTCTCTCTCCCTAATTTGCTCATCAATCAAGCATATATAATTAGTTACTCGTATTTTATAAGGAACCAAGCAACATAGCCAGAACAGCGACGTTGGCCTCTCATTCGGTATTCCTCGTATCTTTCCACAACAGGAACCGACAACCTACACTACAGGTAATCTTGACTCTTGGGAGAAAGCTAAGCAACCTTTGCCAAATCAAAGAGATTTGAGATGGCTCTATTGCCTTTCTTAATTAGGCTTAATAATAAATCAATTAAACAAATCTCTAGCATGTAATGTACTTTATTGGATTAATTAAGTACGGACACTTTCCCCTGATCGCACTGGTGGAACAGTCAATAACAAGTTTTAATTAGTTTAATTCCTTGAACACCATTGATTTAACTTAAATTAAACTTATTGTCTTCATAAAGAGTGATACTCCAGTCTTAAGAATGGTGTTAATCCTAATAAGACAGCACTTTTCATTTCTTAATCAAAAGTGATTTTTTGGTGAACTAAAGTGCACAAAATTAGTGCGTCTTACGTCTCTATAATCCAACCTGATCCAACTAATATTTCATTAATTATTTTATCCTTATTCTAATCACTAATTATAAATACGCACCATGTTCGACTAAACAATGTCCAGTGAAAAACAAAAAGTTTATTAAATTAAATTATCAAAATAAATATTTTCAAAAAAAAAAATTATCAAAATAAATAAAGAAACACATAAATCTTATAAATATTAGCATATGAAATTTTAATTTTTAATGTTGATAACAAATATTATTATCTAAGATAAATTTTTTAAAAATGCATTAAACATAGTATAGTAGGTATTGAGTTTCCAATATATATATATATATATATATATATATATATATATATATATATATATATATATATATCTTTTAACAAATGCAATGATTTTTTCTTATAATTTCTTCTATTATAATTAGATACTAATATCGATACCAAAATAAATGGATTGAAAATGTTTCGTTGACAATGATATATATATAAAAGAACCAATAAAATTAGACCTATAACGGAAACAAAAAAATGTCCGTCAAATTATTTGATAAAATGAATGGTTCAGATTATTTTGATTTTAGTATTATTTATGATTTCCCTCTTTACACTCTATTATATTATTTTCTTCCCTTAAATAAGCCTACATTCCGTTAGGATAAACTTTAGTAATGGAATATGTATGTATGTATGTATATATCAAAATTCCTTTGTATTTAACAACATTTTAACGATTTTATTGATGAATGACAAAAAATGGTCATACCACAATAATACTAAGACAAAACATGGATGCTCTAATAAAAATTGACTAAAAGTGGACTGCCACGTATAAATATAGGACCAAAAAATGGAATTAACTCTAATAATAATAATAATAATGATAGGAACACAATGCACTAGACATTACACTAACAAATAAAACTCTTATAAAGATTATTACAGTTATAAGCTTTATCAAATGTGTTCCATGTTTAACCCAACAATTTGTGCGTAACTGTAAGGTCAAGAATTTAGTAAGAGTTTAACTATGTGAGTATAACTAGGGTTGGACCTAGACTAATCTCATAATGGTGGAAAAAAAAAATGGGTTCCTTGTTTTGTTAAAAGAAGTAAGATCCAACTATCTTCCTTTGAACAAAAATTCTGGAGAAATTATCCAATATATTATTTATGGCAACTAGTAAAGCAACTAAACTTTCTTAAACATGAGGTAATGCACTGCAGCTGCAAACTTTAGCTCACTTAATTACTCTCATCACCCACTAAAAACTATCTTTTACTATATTAGAATGTCCAATAAAATTCTCTAATTTAATATATTTAGCAATATTTTTCTTTGCACTACACCAACCGTCTTTGGCTCACATAATCTCTTCATCCATTAAAAATTATCCTCTTTAATTATGATATTAGAATGTCCATAAAAATTATCTCATTCAATAAATTAAACAATATTTATACTTTTATTAATATATTAAATTTGTATATATGTTTAGTAATTAAAATATATTCTAAAATATTGGAGTGCTTAAACTTCCATTGATATGGAGAAATTTTCAACCAAATGTGGTGAATATTTAATAAATTAATGCCACTTTTGGTACTCTAAGTAGTGTCACATTGCATGTATACTTGCACGGATTTAGCCCATTGGTTCAGTAGGTAGTATTTGGGAGAAAAAACTAATGTTTGAACCTCGATAGTGACAGCGTGGGGATTATGCCCAAAGTAGATAGATCCTTTGTATGCACCAATATTTGGTCATGTCTGCTAAGCCATTGAATCACCGTGATTTACATCTTTCTAAATACTCGGTTGAGTCGGGATTGGGAATTCAACCTTTTTGGGAGTAACTTGTATTACAACTCAATTAAAAACAAAGAAAGTGGACTTAAAAAAAAAAAAAAAAAAAAAAAGAATTCTTGATCAATTTAATAAGATCTATGAGTGGAAGAAAACTGTAGTAATTTTAAAGTAAAGCGATGGAATTTGTCAAACATTTATAGCCTTCAATTAAGTGGAGGAAATAGAAACCACAGTACGTGTACATGTAACACGTACACTATCTACCACTAAAACACCAACCCCACCACATCCACATCAAAGTCAAGCAACAGAAAGTCGCCTAGTATAGGTGAGAAAAACATCCTTAATTAGCTTTGTACATAAATGATAAACCCTTTCTAGGAAGCCACGAACGCTAGAAAAATAAATAAAGCCTTCCCTAGATGCCTCATGCCTGCATTGCATCCTCCAATAGTTGTTTGTCACAATAACTCTCAATGGAGTGTGTATTGCTCCAATAGTTTTCCAATTTTAATTTCAACCATTGTGGGTGGGTTTAATTTGAAATTGAGTTAATTACTGAAATGATCTCTTGACTATAGTGAAATTATTAACTTAATTTTTGATTTTTTTTATCAGTTAAGTTCCTCAACTTTAAAATTTTTAATCAATTTGATCCTCCGTTTTTTTTAATCGTTAGACATTGATTAACTCGGGATCAAATTGGTAATTTTACTATAGTCAATGGACCATTGCAGTAATTAACTTTTCAGAGAAAATGGTGCATGTGATGACCGAAATGGTCCATTGACTATAACAAAATTACCAATTTGGTCCTAAGTTAACGGATGTCTAACAGCAAAACAAACAGACCAAATTAATAATTCTTGTATAGTCAATGGACCATTTAGGTAATTAACTCTTTGAAATTTGATGGGTTGTGAAATTAAAAAGAATAAAACATTTATGGTGAAATTGAAGTGATGATTTATTATTTTTACTTTTTTTTTATACACTCTAACTTATTACTAATATATGTTTAACATGATGTCAATCATGATTGAGATGAGACTCAAAGCTGATAACTTTCTTATAAAAAGTAACAGTGATGTTATTAGAGCACAATATACTTGACATTATTTTTACTTTTTCGTTAAAATTTTTGCAATTGAACTAAAGAACATAAGTCTAGGGTTTCTGCTTCTCTCCTAGGGTTTCCTAGGCAATTCCCGACGTTCCATCGTCTTTTCTCAGCGTATTTGGCCGTCTTTCTACGATGTTTAGCAGTTTAGTGTGTTCTGTTCGTCCGTTTTCCTTTGCATGCGAACGCAGCAGCTTCAGAGGAGGTGGCGGGGCTGACGGAAAGGTGGGCTGA